CATTTGAAATCGAACATCCTCTTTGCCGCTGATAGCTGACAGTCACACATTTGACATTTCAGCTGCTGTTTGTGAACATGAGTGACGGCTCCTGAAACCAAACACACTGACACCGATCTGCAATGTCTCTGACACACAGTTTCCAGAGCTCTATTAACAATGAATGAGAGTGGTGTGATACTTGCATTTAAAGTAAGACACGTGAATAGAATATATCTAATACTCGTGAAGCATACAGATTCCCATTGACTGTTGCCCAGAGAGCGGTGCCAGGGTGACATCGACGAAGCGTCTCTGCGCTCTTATTTCTAGCTTTGCGAGAGACTTATCGATACATACAAGTGTGAACTAACTGCTCATATTCGTAGCATTACATTTTCATTCTCTTCTGAGTGGACTTACACTTTGAAGAATGCACATATTTAATGGCCGTCATGCACTACAATTCATATGTGCCAGAACTGGACTTAAATCCTGTACAATTTGTATTAATCATCAAGTATCTATAGTTATAATACATATCTCCACTTTGAAAACAGCAAATAGTGTATGTTACATATCTACAGACCTTTGTGTGATGGGTGCAATACTGTGAAGAGAATGACAGACAGCACACCATATACTATGTCATCAGTATTGCATATTGTAACTATATTTATACATGTTCATATAAATATAGATATTCTATGTACATATTGATATTTCAACTTTGCATAAAGAATAAAATAAATAATACAAATATAATCAAATCTTACAGTGAGTATGATTTGAGAAAATGCTATATTAGAGCCAAAATAGTCCTAACAGCTGAAATAGTCAACAATTGTTATTCATTTTTAAAATAATAATGATAATAATAATAATAATGATAATGTGGCCTACAGTCTGGCATGAGCTACACCATGATTACCCTGCACATTTACCATGTGGGACTGCTGGAATGACTAGAAAGGGCGGAATAAGGATAGGAAAATTCGGGGCTTGTTTCCTTCAGCTCAGTCTATGGGAATTTGTGTGTGTGTGTTGAAAGGTGTGCGAATATGTGTGTGTAGTTGTGTGAAGGTGTACACAAGTCTGCAAGTGTGGCTTTTAAATGGTGTAGGAGGTCAAAAGTCCATTTCCTGAGCTTTCACCTCCGGATGTCGGTGGCCTTGGGGTCTTCCTCCTCAGCCACCACTCCAGCTTCCGGACTATGACGGCGGGGTCCCTGGCTGCGGTTACGTGGGTGAGAGCTGAAGCCTGCCTTGCCAGCCCTCTCCTTTTCACCTTGCCGCGGCAGGCGAGGGTGCTCTGGTTCAGGCTGTGAAGGCATGAGTTGGCGGCGGTTTTCGACTGGGGTGCTGGCAGGAGACGGGGCCATTGAGGTGCAGAGGCTCAAGCTGTCGCAGAGGGCCCCCCAGTTCTGCTCACACTGTAGTCGGACGCTGCGTGACAGCGCCTCCTTCACTTCCTCTCCACAACTCAGGAGAATATTCACCAGCTCTACATATGGACTGAGCAGGGAGAGGCACATTAGGTTTGGAAGTACAATAAGCGTCTAGCAAATGGATAGACTTCACTGAGATGCATCTTTACAATCAACAGAAGAACAAATAAAAATATCCACAAAATCGTAATTTTTTTTTCAAAAAAGATCTGGGATTAAAGAGAAGGGACGGCTTAGAGAAAATACCGCTCTAAACCTGGTCCAGATCAGTCCCTTACCCTTTGGGGAATAGATCTTGGAAATGGATCATCTCCACCATGACGGCCACGTTCTCCTTAGCGGCAGAGCACAGGTTGTGTTTGATGTAGCACTCTCTCTGGAGCTGGAACACCATCTCCTTAATGGACACACACTTTCTGCTGATGCAGCCGAACTTGTGTCGCAGACCATGCGCCATACATTTCAAAGCATCCTTGATGAAGGACTTCCCCTATGTACACATAAAGACGGGTTCCCTTTAAGTTCCTAGAAAATCAGCTATAGAGCAAGCTCATGTGGTGTTCCTTCTCTCTTGCATGTATAGTACTTACACAGATAGCTTTGGCATTTTGTGGGTACCGTACATCTATTTTAGTAGTTTTGGAGTGTATTTTTGGTTGTGTTCTATAAATGGTAACTACACTTTATTCACAAGGAAAATGGACATGTAATTCTGTAATCAGTAGTCAAATACCGCTGTTCTTCTACTGAAATCTTCTGAAATGTAAGTTCCTAGTATGTGACCCTATAGGCATATTAACACCCCAGTCAAGCCTGGGTTGGCAGGGTTTCAACCTCTGCTATGTATGAAAGGGGAGCTCACTGGGCTTCTAGCCAGCTGGCTCATGACGCTTAGTCCTAACTGTACACACATCACTCCGCTGAAAGGCATGTGAACTTGTCAAGAAAGGGAAAAAGAAATAGATGATTAGTTCAGGGCATGTATGATCGCACTTCTAAAAAGAAAATTGATGATTCAGGAGCAATGGACTAATAAAAAGGAAAGCTGCCTCTTGTTTTACCATTTTCTTTTTTGCTAACAGACAGATTAGTTTAGTACCTGAGAGTCAAATTTGCCAGCGTTGTGCAGGAACGTCATGCAGATTTCCTGTAGCCCTCGTATCTCGCAGGAGTTGTTCTCAAAGCACTCAAACACACCGCAGCCGACATCCCCTGCACTCACCAGGCAGTGCTGAATCTCAGCTGGAAACAGAGAACAGGTTAGAGGAGGGACCTTATCATCTGCTCTCAGCATAGAAAGCACGCAGACCGTTACAAGCATGCTGGCAACGAAGACCATACAGCTTGGAGGCACAACTCCACTTCAGCACCGATTGCTGCACAAATCATAAAGCTGATGTGGCGTATAACTATTTCCACAGATGCTGTTCGTGTGCGTTCTCTCTAATAGAGAGAGAAAGAATGCAGGGGAGGGTGTGTGCAGGGATGAGAGGAAGTCTTAATTTCCCCAAGCTGAGGGGTTCCTGCAGAGGAACACTTGGTGACAGATATTACTGTGTCATTCTGCACCACAATCCATCTGCACTGCCTAGCATTGAGATAGGATGGTGCATTGCAGATACAGCCTTAACTACTTGTGGAGGAAACGCAAGCAGCCATTTCAGTGTCCCCCCTAAATGTGCATCAACAAGTCTTGCACTCTTATATTTGCAGAGCCAATCAAGTGCATACTGAAAATGCAACAGCAGTGATGCAAGCACAAAAAAGAGAACTTATCACATTTACATCAAAGGCTTGTCTCTTTCCCCCTTTCTTTTGTTTTAACTGCAGGCATCAGATACAAGTATCAAAAAAACAAAAAAAAGGGCAGAATCACATCACAAATCACAGTGGGACCCCGTATCAATTTTAGATTAATGTGGCAGATGGCAAGTTACCTCGTGAGGCAACAGAGCATTTACAGTTCAGTCTGGCTCTGACAACCGTTAACTGTTAACTTAAGTAATACATCATTACACAGGTGATAAGTTTTGGAGCTGGTAACTGATGGGCGTGAGAACAGTTTTTGTCTCACAGTCAGAGTTGCGCCCTGTTTGGAAGAAAAGGAGACTCTGTCTCGACCACAGCAAATAAAGGATTAAGTGTGACTTATTAGAAATCCCGCTTGTCAACAAAGAGCCTCTTTTTTTCTTGGTAGTGGTGGTGGTGAGGCTGTGTGTGTGTGTGTGTGTGTGTGTGTGTGTGTGTGTGTGTGTGTTTGAAGGAGAGAGGGGCGGGGGCTGCTACGGGGGTTTTGTAGGCACTGAGTTGAACTTTAGTGCGCAGGAAAAGTGAGCCGCTGTCAGCAGTGCTTGTTTTGGCATCACGGGAATGTGCTTGGATCGTACGAGCTTGGCCGCAGCTTGCATTGAATTACACAGTGGTGTTACCAGGGTCTCTGCAGAGAGAGAGAGACCTGCATTGGAGTTTGTCCCCATTTTTTTTTTCAGCGTGGAGGAAAGATAACAACTAGGCTCTAATATTTTGACACAGGTTCACATGGTCGGTCTCGACCAAGACTTAGGGTCTGTGAGGGTAAAAAAAATCACTCAATATAAAGTGCAAGTTCCAGGGAAAGAGCAGCAGTCCGAGAAGGTGATGGTGGTGGTGGTATTGGTGTTGGGGCTTTGTGTTAATTGGGTGAAGCATACTTCCCCTTTTTTTAATGGTATTTAATAAGCACTACTGCCTCAGAGGATTGGTTCAGTAAATTAACTCCCGCTTGCCTTCAGCGCAGACCAAGCACCGCACTAGTGCACTCATTACCGCTCTACTAACCTGCACACCTCACCCAGCACTGATATCAGGAGACAGCCTACACAGCGCAGACATACATATTTACATGTATTTTTTTAAGCAGCTAACCACTGAAATAATCAGCTGTGGCACGCGCGCACACATTAACAAGCGCGCACGCACACCTAGATGCGCTGCCGTATACGTTGCCTATTACCTTGCGCCGTTCTATTAATAGTTTACTAACATACTGAATTTCTATCTGAGTATTTACAAAATATCGTCTTTCGCAGGTATCGAAAAACGTCTCTCGAGTGAAACGTCGGGATTTAAGTTAAAAGAAATAAATAAAAATAAAACATTTTATTTTATTTTATTTTTTTTAAAACGGATTTGCCAAAACCGACTAAACGTGCCTCCTGCATGGTTTAATTGTGCAGCCACGAGAAACACGTGTCCGGTCAAACCCCACGACTCTTACCTCTATTGCCACTCATTTCTTACCTGTGTTCTGCAGCGAGAGGCGTCCTTTCTGGCTCGCAGGTTTCTCCGGGGGGGTGTCATAGATGTCAATATTATCCGTTCCCACTACTTGCTCCAGTACTGACAAAACCAGCAGCAGCAGCACGGCCAGATTGACAAACATTGCTTCTCCGACAATGAGCTTCTATCCCCACTGCAAAGATTCGGCGAGTGCGAGTGTCTCTGCGTGGGTGAGGGTGCACCTTGGATCGACGGAGCTGCTGCTCGGTGGCTTATGGGGCAGCTGTTGGACTGAATGCACGAGCTGGAAGTGATGCTGCCTATATTTCTAAGAGCCCCGGGTGTCAATTTGGATGAAGGAGTTAAGCAGGTGTTGTCGGTCGGGGCTTTACAACCAATCAGAGACGCAGAAATCCACGTCCAAGGTTTTAGGGGAGTGTCCAGCGAAAAGTCCCCGTTTTGCCATAAAAACTGGCCCTCTAAGGCAATATTCATGAGTAAGCTGACTTGAATTCTACAATCAGCATAACCCTCAGACATCCAATATCCCAACCAGACGTTTAATAGTCTTTATCTAGTTGATTTGATCTAAGATAAGCTGCAGTTCCTGCTTTTTATTGCAGCAATGAAAAGTAAACAGAAAGTCTGCTTATGCCATGGAAACACTTACATAGGATACACAGAGCAGTGGGAGATTCAAGACGCATTACGCTTACCAATATGCTGGAAAATGTAACATGTGTAATGTCCAAACACTCTGCAATAAAAAAGCAATCGGATGTCAGTGGATCTGCAGCTTACTACTCATTATTCCAAGGCAGCTTTTAAATTAAGCGCAGTGTCGACAACATGTGTGAGAACACTACTTCCACAGAAGGTGGGTGCAAAGTTTGCTGTGACAGAAACGCTTAGTGAAATTTAACTGCCTGGCAATTGCACACCAGCCTATTAATAATATACACTGATTTTAAGGTCAGATTATAATAACTTTTATGACTGACTGCTGACTGCTATAAATAGAATTCCTTAACTTTTTTTTATGGGGAACTACATACAGAGAGCTCTGTTACACAATTCCCAGTTTAGTCTGTGACAATGAGTTCCTACTCACTACTACAGGGAGTGATCTAAGAATAGAGGACAAACACTGGCAAGGTTGCGCATTTGGAGACGCTTGAGGAATCTTTTTCAAGAGCAACACTTGAGGATGCCATGTGGAATGACTGCAAGCTCACTGCAGAAGGAACATTAAGTCTCCATATTCTGAATTTTTCCAGTGACCTAATGGCATTGCTGCTTTTCAGGTAAAGCCCTCTATAGGAGTCGGTAGAGTGATGCAAGCATGGGTGCATGGCTTGGGATGCCAGAGGGCTGCTACATGTGGAAAAAAGAAATGGCAAGGACAGCAGGAAATGACCGTCAAGGTGCAGCATGTGGGAAATGCATTTATATCTGAAGCCTCCAGGGGGCCCACTGATACTAATTGTCTGTTCCTTTTCATTTTTAATTACAGCACAGCACTAGGGCGACCATTCTGTAATGAACCCAGCTGTCTACACTCACACACAGGAGGATGAACGCACTCACGTCCACAACCTGAGCAACTCTCCTCTTTGCCTAACGTGCAAGGAAAGGAGACCTCCTCAAACCACAGGCATCGGTTGACTATTAAAACCCAGAGGTGTGTAACAAACTACGTTGGGGGTGGAAGGGTGGGTGGTAACGGCCCATCTACGACCAGAACCCAAGGTAAATACATTACGCCACTGCTCAGATGCCCCATAAACTATTGGAAGTTGTGTGCATGTGTGTGCATGTGTGTGGGAGAGTGAAGGACAGACAGAGGAAGAGACAGACAAGCATGCATCTGATTGTGGCAGCCCAAATTTCATAGATCTGTGACTTTGAAATCTGTTTATCATAACATTTAATTTATTTTCAGGGAAAGAAAAAATCATTTTCCTGGGAAGCTCTGGCTCTGACTGTTGGAAAAAACTAAAAGGAAAAAAAGGAAACTAAAAGAAAAAAAGAACCTAGCCTATATTTAGACCATCAATGAAATTAGCCTAGAGTGGGAACTGGACTCCCGCTTTAACCTAAACCAAAATGATGATCACTTATAGCTCTAAATATAGATAATTATTGTCTCGAGACTGCAGTATCTATCGTTTTAATTGAGGTTTTTAGTCAGTGGAATGAGTTTTGGAGAAGTCACCACAGCTGAGAAATGGGAGGTATTTTGGCTAGGAGATGATGCAGCACAGAAAACCTCAGCATTTCAATATTCCCATTATATTCCTCTTGTGGATGTGGTAGACTTTTTTTTTCTGCCATGAATTTATGACAATCTTGCCCCACTCTGTCTTCTCTACTTGTCCTAATACTCGATTTTTTTAGAATATGCTATTAATATTCAATTCAAACACACAGCTATATAGAATGTACAGTGATACATAGTATCAGAAATTGGCTTAAGCTTGATGTGCACGGAATGGAAATTGCAACGCTCCAGTATTTTAAAAGTCCAGCCGACTTCCATCACGTCCACGCAGGAGGGTGTATAGCGCGCAGTGGCACGTGTCTGGAGAAGAGCTTGATCCGTTTCCAGTTGTGTCTGTACCACAAAGTGAAGTCTCCTGCTCAATTCACGTCTGTTAAAAACTGCCCACGCTGTCCACACACCCTCGATTTGGCCCAATCAGGGCACTGAAGTGGACCACAGGCTCGTAATAGCGTGTGCATCACCGCTGCCTACTGACGCTGCATTCAGGCCGTATGGGAAAAACAACCTCTGGAGAGTTTAGGCACAAAAACCTAATGACCTTTCTGCTGTGATCATTGGCATTTTAACAGCCACAGTCACTTTCAGCAAAAGTGTCACTCTTGGCACGTGCACTTGCTTCTTTCTGCAGCTTTTTCACAGGAATACCTGAGTCCTCAGCGAGTCAGTGCACATCAGCAGTTTGCAAACTTCTTCTGGCATGCCTCGCGTTGGAAGCAGAAACAACTTCACTTCGTTCACCATCCACCACATTAAAAAAATCAGTCGTTAAGAATAAAAAAAAGGATCAAAGTTGAATAAAGTGAAATATTTAGGCAAATACAATAGCATCAACATTTGTTTCACTTGGTTTCACTGTGTACACCCCATTTGCAGTGGCTCTATGTGGAGCCTAGTTGGGCCTGTCATACAGTTTCAGAAACACAGACAACAGAGAAATCACCAGCTGATGGACACCTAGACATGTAAATTTTTTTCATTTATTTCTTTTACCTACAAGATAAATGCAGTTGATGCTAATACCGCAACTCCAGAGATGGTTCACAGGTTTTGTGGCATTTTCATCCTTTTCATATAATTGTGCATCCCAGTATTTACAGATAAGATAACATAAGACTTTATTGATCCCACGACAGGGACATTTTTGCATTACCTCAGCTCAGGTACAGATATCTGAAGGAAATACAAAAATACAAATAAGTACAACCAATGAAAAAAAAAAGTTACTTGGTGAATGGTGGAGAGACTAGGACCTCTATCGCGCAATGCATATTTAATGTTTTACTTGAATGCAACACAAAACACCAAGCATTGGCACAGAGAGCCAGAACATTCAGCGGTTTGACAAACCAAATGAATGACATGACTTAAAATGTTGTGCACAAGGTTAAAGATAATCTTATGCTGTGATCAGACATTGTCCAGCTGCAGTATAGTTTCAAAACACAGCTGTAAATTCGACTGAAAAATCTCACATAAACGTCCTTTTAGTGACTAATCTGCACCTTTAGTCCAATCGCTTTGTCAGTAGCAGGTTAGGTTTACTACTTGGTACCCACTACAGAGGTTAACATACTATGTTTTAAGTAATGTCTTGCCATCTATAAAGTCTACAGTGCTGATTTGAGCTATTTTCACATTTTGGGGATGTGACAGTGATGCTGCGCATCAGCCTCCAAGCACTTGTCATTTACATCTTGACTGCACACTTGTATATCTACATGCATGCATGCAGAGCAGTGACGGTTTGTGGATGAGAGACATCTAAAGTGTGAGCATCATTGTGGTCTGGTTCACGTGGCAGCTAAAGCTGTTATTTTTACTTTTTAACTGTGTTTTGTTTTTGGTGTATTAAGAATATTTTTCATGTTTACATTGCACGAAGGCATTGTCTTCTTGCGGTGACAGCGTCCAGAAAAGAGACAAGTGTGCTTTGACAGCCGTAACGTTCATTCACTTTGACTGCTGTACTGTAAACATACAGAAAGCGGACATGTGTTCTGAGTTGGGACCCCTGGGGCCCTGGCAAGTGACCGACCAATGAAACCACAACAGAGAGGCCAAGCTGGGGTGTGTGTGCAAGTGTGTGCGTATTTGTGTGTGAATTAGGGGGACGCTTCACTGCGAGAGAGGCTTCTGTGACAGCAATTAATGTTACTAGTTTACAGACTCTTTACGGTGCTTTACGGGAAGCATGTGTGTGTAATTTGGTTACAAGTTCAGGCTTTGTTGTGGAAAACTGCCGGACAATAACTCCTGAGTGACCCCACCGAGGATTGATTCGAAACCTTACGGTATCCTGTGCTGTCAAAACAGTAACTTTAAAAAAAAAAGTCACCTCAGGTGATATTATTTCTGAACGTGCAACTTGTGTCTGTTTTTTTTTTCTTTTTAATCTACACGTAAAGTGCAGTTTTATGCTGACAAAACGAGGTTCCCCCGAGGGCGTAATACAAGACTATCTCACTGTTTTTCTTTCTTTGTGCTAAGTACAGACATGTGCACAAGTGGTGCCAGTCTTCTCAAATAACTCCCAGCAAGAGAGATAAAATGTAAACTATACCTTTAAAACCAAAATATATGCTAATAAAACTGCTATATAACAGTTTTTAATACTGAGTTAGTCGCTTGTGCAAACCAACCCAACCAGTGAGCCACTGGAACTGTGTGATGACATATGACCTCTATATCACTGACATAATTCTACTCAAGCATACCACGTCTTTACTTGCTACGTTGTCTGAGGGCTGTTAAATAAAGCCACAAAAAAACCTTAATAAAAACGATGCTGTAAAAAAAAATCTAAGCAGTAAATCAAAGCAGAATTTTAAACTTTGCTGTGTAAACATAACTCAGTAACTCTCTCAGAATAGAAAGCGCACGAGAAAGCAGGAGTGCTGGGCTGGGAGAAGAAGAAGCTGTGAAATATCACATACCAAAGTCTTCGAGGAACCTGAATATGATATCTTAGTTTCTAAATCTGGCTCAGTTTATGGCTGTGTGCATTTGTGTGTGTGTGTGTGTGTGTGTGTGTGTGTGTGTGTGTG